ATAGCGCCGGGCGTTTTTGTCGTCTTGTTGTGAACCTGTACGCGAAAGATTGTGAGTGAGATCACTATTACATAACTATGTACTATTTATTTCATCTTTGAATTTTTCAAAATTGTTTGAGCCCAAAACTTAGGATTTAGAAAGATAATACTTCATGAACGAAAAAAGTAGGCCGAACTACTGTAGACAGACAGGCGGGCGGGCGGGCGGACAGACGGACGAACGGACGGACGGACAGACGGACAGACAGACAGACGGTCTGATCATGACAGACCGGCGGGTTGACAGACCGACAGGCTGGCAGTCCGACAGGTTGGCAGACAGAACGACAGGCTGGGAGTCTGACAGACCGGAATGCCGGCAGGCTGGCAGGCCGGCAATTTTACAGGCCGACATGTTGGCAGACCGGCAGGCTGACATACTGGCAGACAGAACGACATGCTGGCAGGCTGACAGACCGGAATGTTGGCAGGCTGGCAGACAGAACGACAGCCTGGCAGACAGAACGATATACCAGCAGGCTGGCAGACCGACAGGGTGACAGACGGACAGGCTGGCAGACCGATAGGCTGGCAGTCAGAACGACAGGCTAACAGGCTGAACGACATGTTGGCAGGCAGACAGACCACCGTGCTTTATAGTAAGAACCACTACATAAAACAAACAAGCAATCAAGCAGATTAACACACAAACAAATCTCTTCTAATTATCAAGAGACAATTATCAAGAGATAAATATCTACATAGCAACAATTGGAAATAAATAAATAAATCTTTACCTCACCCAAACACCTAACACCCATTGGTATATCTGTATGCATTAAGCAAATTACACTTCCCCCATACAGAATCACTATGGATATGTGTGTAGGCCGATTTAAAATATCATACTTTCATCACCAGATACCCACTAATTCCTTGTTCCGTACACGCACACGTCGACGAGTGACTAAGGACTTGTTTTAGGCGCACAAAAGGAACATTAAAAAAAACCTGTACGTGTATTTACAGGTACACGTACAGGTCGTCCGTATATCTTAAGGTCTTTAGTGACTCACTCCGAGCACCAAACGTATTTACCTTTTGACTAAGCAGTCGATATACTTACAACAGTCAAGCCAAGTAACTAAGTCAACATTCGAAAATAAAAATCTCAAAAATCGTACATCTTTGATTTCCAAAATAATTTGTGAGGTGGTTATTAAGATGATAATACATCTTTTAACGTATTAATTTTGAGTTCATCTTTAATCCATTCTCAACAAAACTTTGTCTAAATAAGGATTCGAAATTTTTGAGTTCGGGATGATAAAAGTACGTTAAGATATACCGCTCCTTAACAAACTCCTTTGGGAACAAGATATAGAATCAAATGCATATTCTTCTTATTTACTCCCTGACACGTGCCAACGAATGTTACATCAGTTAATATCTCCTTTTTAAATAATTTTGTAAAACGTTGTTCTCTACAGGTGCCATTTTTACAATTAAAAAACAAAATTGAACATTTTGAATTTCTAAATTGATAAGTTTCTTGGAATACAACTTAACTGTTAACGATTTAAGTCATTAATAATATTTCCCTCAGTGATCCCATGCTAAATAGACAGTAACTAAGTTATTATTTTGTGTTCAACCTTGTTTTCATGACTTTTAAACACGAGTCGACAATTATGTAGGACATTTCAATTCCAAATGTAAGCGTGTCAACTCCTGTTTTTGCACAAAATTTAGCCTTTTATAAAGATATATCGCCAAAATCTGCATGTACCTCTCAATGAGGCGACACATTTTTAAATTTATAGATGCTGAGCTCTAAACTCAAACAAAAATTCAAACCACCCGCTATTATTTTGATTACACAAGACAAAATTTCCACTCCCAGGGAGCACTGGGGTAACACTTTGAAGGAGGATTCTTGAAAAATCGTTCGAATTTTCACAAAAGGTTTCACGCAGTTTTATTGCTTTTTTTAAGCCTCGACTAAAATCATACTCAAATCCGATACCATAATTATAAATTAAAATGAAACATTAAACTCAGGTCAGGTTATATGATAAACCGTTTCGAGAATTGATGATTTGAGTTAACTGTGTATATTTAAATAAATGAAAGTCGGCATGTATTCGACAGGTAATGAAGACACATGATGTATGCATCCACGTGTGACTTAAATATCGATTCATGACTATCATATTTGGCTTTCAAAAATTAAGTTGGAAGTTACAGTGGTTGGAGATTAACGAAAACGTCAGTCACATCCGAATATCCGAACGACGTCAAGTATTAACAATACCCTTTTTGTGCATCTCGAACAAGGCAAGGTTCTGTGATCCAGCAATGTGCATTCCGAAAGAAAAAATTCACAAATATCAACAAATTTCATTGAGTTGGATATTACATTCGAAATCACAACTTTCGAAATGTTTGTTTTAAACAAGAATTGTAAGAACTTAAAACATGTTGTTCGTTTTTTAAACCGCATATCCTCATTTACGTTCTTTGACAAGGATGAATTCATTTGAAAACATGGATTTTCTTGATTATTCTTCAAAACTACCCTTGAAATATAAGTGTGTGGGATATTACAGTGTAAATTGACACGCATTTGTTTCCTCCATGTCATGAAAAAATAAATGCAGTACCATCTTTCAATATTTGAAAACAAAAAGTTCATTCTGTATGTAAACAAGAAAAAATACATTTATGGTTGATTCATAATGAAAAATGACAAATAACATACATGTTTTTAAGTTGGGTTTTACAGGGACATAGTGGAAATTCAGAAATTTAGGCCATATCCCAAAGACTGCTTCACCAATATGTAACAGAACATCAA